GCCCATTTTTTTCAAAACATTATTTTGACTATTATTCTGAATACTGCTTAAATAGTTATTCTAGTATTCAAACAGTTTATTTCGTGTGAGAAATTCTTGAGAAAAAAGAAAGGTTGAATAGAGAAACTGATTTGCATGAAAGTTTTGGAACAAATCAGTTAGTTTTGTATAGAATTTTGTATCTATACTTATACAAAATATAGATTTTCGCGTATTATATTATGGTTCTACATGAATATGTATAACAAGCTTATTTCTTTGTGTACTTACAAAAAAGTTTTGCCTAAAAATATAGAAATAGAGATAACTTTTGACTATTTAAAATTCTCAAACAGCATAATACGTTCATTTAAAATTCTTCACAAATCAATTATAATAATTTATTTGTTAAGTCTAAAAGATTCTCTCAATATGTATCCACACTTTCATGAACACCTTATAAATTTTTAGCATTGAAAATGAAAGTTAATCTGTTAAATATGATAAATATGCTTTTGACTTATTTCCAAACTCTCTTTACCCAAGAAAATGCTTACAATCTCAATGAAATTGAAATAAAAAATCATTATCAGATGATACTATTAGATTTGCCAGAAGCAGATGATAACATAGATATGATTATGGAAACATCTTTAGATTTTCAAGAGGAGTTCAAAGACTCTAACGCATATATTGTCGAGGAACAAAATTTGCATACACTACCTGAGGATCCTGAGTTTCCTACAAATAAATGCACCAGCTACAATGAGCCTTTGAGTTTGGAATATATGAAAAGAGCTGTCGACTTTTGGAGAAGTGGAAAAAGAAAAAATCTTTCTCTTCAAACGGTACAAAATCATTTCTGTAAGGTCACACAACTACGTCATTGGGCATATCATATTAATCAAGGTGGTATATGTCAAGAGAAAATTGCAAGAATTTACGAATATTCTTTAGAAAATGCCTATTTTCATTCGTTAAATCTGGTTTTATAATTCATGACAATGATTTGAGACGATAGGCTGAAATTACAAGCTCAAAATTTAATTGGAAATGAAGACATAAGATTTACAGCTTCTAAATGGTAGGTTGCAAAATTTAAGAATGCTTACAGAATTGTGTCTAGAAAAATAAATAAATTTATAACAAAAAAAAATATAGAAAATCGAAAAGAATCACAAATAAAAGAGACAGAATTTTTGTCAAATGTCAACCAATTAATTAATCAAGTAGGTATTGAATACCTTCAATTCAGATCAGAACAGTTTTCAATTAGAAATGCACTTTGGCCGCACCTTAGCAGTTGAAGGGGAGAAACAAGTACAATGTTTTATACAATCTGTGTCATCCAACTATCCATAGCTACACCGTGCAACCAACGATATCAGCAGACGGAGAACTATTATCACCTTTATTTTTGATATTGCAAGAACGTACCGGGGATTTGGGACCAACAGTATTACAAAAAATATTCGTGCCTACAAACGTGCATGTTGCTGCTTCAAAATCTGAGAAACTGAATTCAGGTAAAATAATTTTTCATGTATTGTAAATATGAAATATTAAAAGAAAATTTACAGATGTCTTCAAAACATGGTTAAAAGAAGTATATTTTCCTAATGTGAAGCCTACAACTATGCTATTATTAGATTCGTGGAACGATCACTATTCAATAGCTGTAGAGGAAGCTACGCCGTATGATAAAACGGTCCATCTGAAACAAATACCCATCGGAACTAATGGAAATATTCAGCCATTAGCGGTTTTTGGATTCCGTACTTGGAAAAATTTTGTTAAGCAATTTTCACATAGTATTAGCTATATCGACGATAAATTAGAGTTGTTTAAACCAGTTTTCATCACCACGTTATAAAAATCAGTATGCGTGGTGCAAAAGTGGATACCTTTTGCAACGGTAGTCGATTCGAACAATCGATACGTTCGCGATTCGACATACTCGAATTACGAGAGCGAATGTTTAGGAGAAAGAGGGGTCGCGCGCGAGTTTAGTATTCAGTATAGCTTCAGCTGTTAAATAGTTCACCGTCAAATTTCGCTTGTGTTTTTGCCATTTGCCGAACGAAAATTTTTTTGATTTTGGTACGTGCGAGGGTGTGGGAGCGAGGAAACGAGAAAAAAGCAACTGAGCCGAAAGTACCGAGGATTTAGACTAGCAGCAACCAATCCGGTAGTTAAGGCAGCGTCGTCGCAGCATTACCAGGGAGCAGAAATTATTTGCCAATATCAATTACGGCTGATCACCGTAATTGTACCGCAGGGTAGGTGCACCATCTTTTTTTCCGCGTGACGGTATCATTCCTCACTTAAATTCGCAACCGACCGTTATCGCATTCGCACCGAGCATTATAGTTCGCGGTAGATTTTCGAATTCTCTCTCTCTCTCTCTCTCTCTCTTCCCGGATAAATGTAAATCTTATACGCGTGCGCAAGTCTTTCAGCCCAAAAAAGACTGTAACTTTCATTCTTATAAAAGACTTAATTTTTATTCACCTCATGACGTTCTTTCGTTTGCCTTTAATTTAACGGATCCATCACCTGATATCTTTTAAACCAATTTTATCTAGGGAATAGTGAAAATAAACATTAGTCTACGCACACCTAAGATAAAGCAAGTTTCATAAGTCAGGTAACTTAGGTGAGTTCAACTCTATTGGAAAGGAGACATTGGAGCGAAAATATCAATCGTAAAGGAATATATGTATACTCATACGTGACGGAGCGGCGGTTAGCTTTGCATCGTGGGAGATTGTGCTTAGACAAACCCTAATTGCATCAGTTATAACGTTACACTTGTTACACTTGTAAATAATCCCCGTTACACTTGTAAATAAACCGAAGGAATTTGATAACCCCGTAGATTTTAGTTTTGAAGATTCATGTGCAACGAACTGTGAAATTCATGGTTGCAATAACGTTGCTATTATTCGATGCGGATGGCGTATAAAATCTTTGTGCTTGAAGTATTTTTTTGAAGAATACCATTACTGTTATTTATATTCCATAAGATTCTGACGAATTTTGCAAATTAATTATTTACGACAAAATTATAATATGTTATGATAATAAAATTATAATGTAATATCAACATTTAAAACTTCTAATAAATAGAAACACAGTAAAAAAAGAAACATACATTTGAATAATCAAAGAAAAAAAAGATATTTTTAATTTATCAAAATAATAATAATTCTCTACAGGCATCATTTGTTACCATGGCTCGAATTCAACTGGACTATATACCGAATTTTATTGAATTTTGAGGTCGATAGAATACTATTTAGTCGTCATAACAAAAGGAAAGTAAAAATTCAAAAAACATCACGCATGGATATAAAAAATCAGATTCCATGAAAGTACTACTATAACTATGTACAAACATTAACATAAGAGTAGTTTTTAGTCCAATAAATGGTTTATTCATATAAAAACAGATAAGTATTAGTCAAATCTTTTGACCTTTTATAATATATTAATATATCACATAAATCAGATATCTGCGACATTTTGTTTCAATGAAAATTAAGGGTAGTTTATGCATACCAGTCTTTACTTTAGTATTCAACGTCATTCCAATACCAGTATTGTTGAATTTCGTTTTCAGTTTTTTTAGAAAAAAAAAATTTTTTTTTAATTACAACCACCCCTACCATAGTTAGGGGATGCAACCCTTTGAAGATTGGTACGGCGCATAATTTTGTTGACTAGTAACGATCAATTTCTAGTTGAATTTGGAAATTTGTTACGTAGAAATAGGGATACCCTGAAAAATGTACTTAAAAGACAAATTCCAGGGGTTGTTGTCACACCTTTCAAACATTTATTACTATATAAAATAATATTCATCTCTTGATTTTTTTGAAAACTTACAGTCGACTGACATTCCTTTGAAATCTACGACGCTTTACTCGAATAAGAATGAAAATTATCTAAGGGTAGTTTAGCCCCTATATCGTATAAAAACAAAAAAAGCCGAAACAAGTCAATTATAGTTTTTAATGTCCTTTAGGACAATATAAGTTTCGTTGACCTTGCATTAAATTTGTATTTTTACGAGACAAAAATTCAAGAAAAAAATAACTTTGGCCCTCTTGAAAAAAAAGGGATGCTATCCCTGCGGACCTTGGTGTGCTGTATGATATTGTTATTCAGTAACAAACATTTACCAGTTGTTTTCAGAAAGAACTCTTGTATAGGAAAGGAGATATACCGAAAAAATGGTTTTCAGGGTCGAATTTTGGGCCGTTATTAGCACATAAAAATAATACGTGTCGCTTATTTTGTAGTTCTCTACAACATATCACAGTTTCATTGGAATCGGTTCCACACTCTTCCCTTACGTTCCTTGTCAGCGTTGTTTCTAGAACAGGCAATGTTTCTGAGAAATCAAAGAGTTACATTTACAACAGAAATCATATGCGTATCCAGACTACATACAAGAGACAATAATTTTTGCAAGAGACCGAGGAGCACTTTTGGAACAGTTCATAAATGCAATATCGATACTCGTTCAATACTGACGAAAAAAGCAGTCGAAAAATAATAGAAATAATCTACCGATCAAATACATTTTACAACTATTATAGTTCAAAGGTATACCAATAAAGTATCACATTAACCAAATAAAACAGAAATACTTATAAAAACGAAACATAGAAATATAAAATGTTGATACACTTGGCTTTTTCAGGTAACGGCAGATATGAAAAGCTTAGAGTTTTGCGATGTATGAACTTAAGTGTATGCTAAGTATATTTTGTATATTTTCTGTATAAGATTAGGTGCAATCGCCATAGTATCAATCCGTGTGCCATAGATGTCTTACAGGTCCATACTAATAATATATTAACCGATTGTTGTTTCTGATAATAAACTAAGTTACTCTTAATGAAGTATTTATTGAAATATTTCACCGCCATAGCCCAATATATACAATATACGTATATAATTTAATTTATTTAATAACAACTTAACTTTTAAAAATAAAATATCAATATTCTCAGACTTACACGATTACGGATGCTGTTGGAAAAGTTAGCGACTCATTCAAATGTAAACCAATTGAAGGAATGTTAAGTCATCAACTAGAACAATTTAAAATTGATGGAGAGAAAACCATTATACAAAATCCAACTGATGCTCAAAAGAAAGAACATGAAAAATTTATTTTGGAGATGTACGAGGTAAGTTATATAAAATTATTGCATCCCTTGATAAATTTATTTACTTTTAAATAGTCATACTTCAAATTAATCTCAACTCCACTTCGTTTATCTAAAAAATATGAGTCTGTGTATATCTTTTTGAATTGCACTATCAAACTTAATTTTTGAAGATATCTATAGCTTTTGCCTTTCTAAATTGCCTGGGTCAAACTTAATTTAGTCAGGTTTTTAAAATTTCTAGAGAATGATACTATCAGATTAGCTTAATATGTTTAGTCTTACCTGAGCTCAATTAAATTATAAAATAATACATTAGCACACTCGTAACGATAAATTTCGACTGTTATATTCTAAGCGAATCGTGGAATAGTAACTGTTTATATGCGAAATATGCCATCTTTTCTTCTCTCTCTCACGGTTTTGCTAGCGTAAATTCAACGCTTCTAAAAGTAAGACACAAAATCTCTTCTCATTACGAGCGACTCGACTAGCCGCTTGGAAAAGTTTCTTTTAAGAATTCTTACCGAAACAGCTAGCTGTGCAACTATCAATCTTAGCGAGTAAGTCAATCCTGTCCATTTGGAAGACCCGTGAGCAAAGATAGAGTCTCACTTCGCGGTTGATCTCACGGCATTGGAGAGCCGAGTAAATAGCCTATAGCGCTTTTTAATTGTACTAATGAGCGATCTACAAGTGCCTTGAATTGAGAAGTCTATGAAAAAGTAACTTCGAGGCCACGAGACATTTCAGATCGACACACAAAAATATTTTCTCGAAGCCGCTTAGAAATTGATTTTCGTATGTATAAGTCTGAATGGACGAATCTTTCCTGTTAATACTAGTCGTGCTTAAATTTTTCAAATATTTTTAGAAAGAGATTGATTTTAAATAAAATGAAAAAGCCCCTTTCTTTCAAACCGAACTCTCTGCCAATCCCTTTCAACCCGTGAAGTGTGAGAGACCGTGAATGATACTTTGTGCACAATTCTCAGCAGCTGTTTCAAGTTCAAGTAGGACGCAAAGAATCAAGAGGCGCAAACGCTCTGACGGTTGAATAATATGCAGAGTGGTTCACTTAAATTTAATTTTAATTACAAAAAGAGAGTTTTGTTATTCTTGACACTCTCCATTTTGTTAAGCAATTGTTAGCACCGTTAACGGGTTGGCTCTGAAATTGGTTTAAAATTTTGCTTTACAAAAAGAGAGTATATAAACACACATGCAACATTAATGCAAATTTAAGATTGAGACAGGTTGAAGGACGGTGGCGTTAACTCATTCAAACTCCATCAATAGAATTACTGACAATGTAATTGATAATCTTTTCCTTCTTTGAATCCGACGAACGTAACCAGCCGTTACTTGCGTCTATACAGGGGCTGAAGATACTACTCAGCTTGCATAGCTGCTGCTTGTGCTGTTGTTGGTCGTTGTTAGCATTAAGGGATAAACTTGTCCTCGCCGTCAGCGTGGATCCTCACCAGCATCCTCACATATTCCAGTGCAGGGATTTTACACTGGCTGTGTGCAATCCAGCCATAAAATACAAAAAAACTCAACTAACGTCCTCCGCCCTCCACTCCTCACTCGAACGTATATCCTAGACTACTAAAATCCCGTTAATAGCGCATTCGCAAACAAAACTTGAAATCCTTGAAAAATTAGTAACGCGCCAGATTCCACAATCTATCTCTAACTACCCTTTTACATTTCACTTTCGTCGACTTTCTCCTTATTCCTATCGTCTTCACTTCTTGCGTTCGCCGTCTCACTTCCTTATCAGTAATCGTTGACCGCTCCTAGCTCCACCAATCACTCTGTTCGTCCACCGCATCTCAAACAGAGAAAATGGCATGACAGTGCTTACGTACAAACTCTCAGCATGAACCCGGCAAATGGACAATTGTGAGGATCAACGCGCAAATCAGCAAAATCGTGATTCTCTGTTATAGCTCTTTTCTCGAATCAATCGATGCTTTCATTAGAATCTGAAACTATCTCCCGCGCTCACCGTCTGGGGGTTACATTCAGGCACGAACAATTTGCGCCGGCACAATCCCCTTTGGGTGAGTAAATTTAAGTGAAATGGCCACGCAGTCCGTCGGCCGCGTGCAACTAACTGGTAAAAAAAGAAAACAAAACAAATCAAAACAAATCAAAATAAAAAAACTACAACCAACAATAAAAAAATTAATTAAAACAAACAAATACAAGAATCAACCGAAAAAAATGAAAGACCGCACGTCTATAGTACCACCTACACTGGCCATGTACTATTGATTATCCTGTTAAGCGCAAGAGTGCGATAGCGCGCTAACCTCCTCAACAAAACGTAGTTGTTCCTCCAGGGATAGGCTAGCAACATTATATCGGCGTTATTATTATTATTATTATTATTTTTTTTTTACAAGGAGTTGCGGAATCCTTTTTGCGGATTCCCCTTAGCCTTTCTGACTGAGAGGTTATGTGGGAATCCCCGAAAAAAAAATTAGCCTACCCACTAAACCGCCATCTCCTTGGTGTCCTTACCCTAGCCAGGGACTATGTTAATATTACTTCTGACTGGAGGTTCTGTCTGTATTTGTCCGTTCGTGTCGTTTCTCCGTATCTCGTTACGTCGCGTCACTTCGTCTGCTCAGTCATCTGTTAGGCAGCCGTCCGCGTTCTTACGTTTCAGTATAGTTTCCGTATACATAGTGATTAAGCACCACTATTCGGGTTCACGCAGCATCAGAGCCACGATGTTATTGGGGGTGATGCTGCCGACCGTTTCTTCCAGTTCCTGTCTGAGTCTTGTTCAGCGGTCACACTCAAAAAACGTGTGTTCCGCGTCGTCTCGTTCGTGTCCACAGTACTTACAGTCGGGTGTTCGTAGTCTGTTCATGTTGTAAAGGTACCATTGCAAGTACCCGTGGTCCGTCAAGAGCTGGGTGACGTAGAAATTTACATCACCAAATTTCCTTCCGAGCCATAGCCGCAAGTCCCGTATCAATCGTCTCGTCCAGTTACCACCTCGTTCCTCTGTCCATCGGCCTTGCCATATATCAATTGTCCTGTCGCGCTCAACGATTGCCGCGTTCTTTCGTCCTATGTCCGCGCTGCTCGAGAGCATATGGCTCTCCTTTGGGTCGATCGTCGTCCGTATTTTCCGTACTATATCGGAGTACGTCGTGTCCGTGCCCGGCCTGATCAGGACAGCCAGACCCCTTTTCCGGTGGGCCGGTTCGCTTCTGTCAGACCGATTCTTTGCGTCCGTTTTCTTTTTTATCTTGTCTGATCATTTTCGTATTACCGTCTGCCAGTCCTTGGTCGGTTCCGTCGTCGAAGGACTCTTTTGTGAGGGCTCCGGCGTGGTTCCGATCGACGAACGTTTTCGTTTCGTCCGCGGCGTTTCTTCGTTATTCGCCGCTGTCATGTCTGTATTGTTGTTGTCTTGGGAACGTCTTCCCGAAACTTTGTCCGATCGCTTGTGCAGCGTGATGTCCACAGTCTCGAGAATTGTCTTAATTCCCGTCTTCACTGTCATGTTCATCTTCTTTTGTACGTTTACTGCTTTGGCCATTTTCGTCGCCGTCTCTTGTATGAGCCACAGCAGTTCCGTCACGTCTCGTGTGTCGTTTGTTATTGTGGGTGTTCGTGCTGTCGTCGGTTCTTGGCTGTCAGCGGCAGAGACGTAGCTCACCCCGCTGCCGTCGCTTGACACACTGTCCGTCCTCTGTCGTCTTGGAAAGTTCAGTAGGTCGTTCTCCTCATTCCCGTACACAAAGTACGGCCCTCAAAATCCGTGCCGCTACCCGTGACTATCGGGGCTTTCATCCGATAGGAACCCGGGGTGGATTCCTCTTGAGAAGGAGTTACCATTTGAGGTATATCAATGTTTTTTTTATGCATATCCATATTTTTTGGTTTGTCCCGTTGTGCTAAAGGTCCCTCGTGGTCCCGACTCCACGAACCGCGCTGGAACAACGCATTGCCCCTGAGGTCCCCCTCATCTTCCCTGTGTGTTCAGTGTTCCCCCCTGTAGAGTGTGCATGATTGTGAGTGCCCATAGTGGCAAAACCGGGCTTCGTACATGGGGAGAGCCCGATTAGAGGGATCCCCTTCATTCGCTTTTGGGCGACTCCGTTTATAGGGGTCCCCGGCATTCGCTCTTCGGTAACCCCCGTTTATAAGGTCGCCGAGCATTCATTCATCCCGGTTTGCTAAGAGGCATGTGTGTGTAAGTGTTTGTGTAATGTGTGAGTGTAGGTGTGTCTAAGTGATCAATGGTTGGGCACAGGAGCAGAATACCATTATCTTTTGCGTCATTTGTGAGCCATATCTTCTTCTTGGCGGTGTCCGTTATAGCGTTGCTGCTCAGAGCATTGACGCGACGGACGACGTTTCCACCGAGCACGGTCGTGGACGTTGGAAGCTAGCATTTGCCCAGTGAGGCGTTTCTCCTTCAAGTGCTAAGTATGACCAGCATGCATTTCTAATTGAAAAACACTCTGATCTGAATTAAAGGTATTCACAAGACCAATTTGTTTTATCCATTGATTGACGTCTGTTATCAATTCCAACTCTTTTGTGTGCGATTCATCTCTATTTTCTATACTTTTTTTTGTTACAAATTTATTAATTTTTCTAGAAACGATTCTATGGGCTTCTTTAAATTTTGCAACCCAACCTTTAGAAGCTCTAAATCGCACGTCCTCGTTCCCAATCAATTTTTGTGCTTGTAAAGCCCACCTTCTCAAGTCATTATCATGAATTATAAATCCAAATTGAAGAGCCGCGTTAAAGTTTTCCAAAGTATAATCGCAAATCCTTTCAATTTTTTCCCGGTAATTACCAGCTTTGTTAATTTGGTGAACCCAGCGATGTAACTGTGTTTTAGATGTGACTTTACGAAACCGATTTTGTACTGTCGGAAATCCAAGATCAACAGGAAGTGTATTTAAATTAATATCCTCGACAATAATAGCATTAGGTTCCTTAAATTCTTCTTGGAAATCTAAAGTAGTTTCTACAATCGA